AATTTGTTCGTATGATATAAAGATTATCAATTTGTCACTGGCTGAGTCTTTATCTCTCTTAAGATTTTGTTATGGATCAAAACTGTCACATGCGCTTTATGATAATTTCCCAGTATAATACAATATAAATATACCAAACCTACAATAGGGAGAAAACAAAGACAAACAAAAAACATCATATAGATACATTTATTGTAAAAAAATTCTCTAAATTTGTACTTAGCAGTTCAACTTCGATGGTGACATTATTCATGCACGTATTCCCCCCCCATTTTTGATTTTTAAAATAGCTTTAAAAAATAAGATTTTTGACAAACACCACTGTGATACAGAATAACCAGTAGTATAGTAGAATAAAATAGTGCATGATAAAGCTCAGTTCATAAAGCTTCTAGTCAGTTTAATTCTTTTTCACCTTTTGTCATACTAACTCACCAGGTGTGTTGGGTGGGAAAACAGGAAGTGATGATGGCCCGTTGACCCCAGGAAGTAACACTGGTGGAAGGCCAGATAACCCTGGGTAGCCTGAGGGTAGGCTGAGGCCATGAAGTGCATTATTGTTTTCCACTGAAGTCTGTTGCTGCTGGCCAGGCAGGCTGAGTCCCTCACCAGCTTTCTTCATACGATCCAGCTCTTGCTGGGCCATCAGCTGACGGACAGTGGTTGGTGCTAGGTAGTCCTTTTCTCTATCTACCTGGTTCCCCAGGGTTTCTTGCACTTTGGTGATGTGCTGCTTAGAAAAGATGTGGTCTCTGACAGACATCCGGGCAGTGTACTTTACACCGCACAGCGTACACTCAGGCCTGGGTCCCTCTGGTGAGCCTTGACTTATCATGAATGGCTTTCCAATGTTAATCTTGAATTTCTTTTCTTTAGCACGGGCATTCTGGAACCACACCTGGACAACACGCTTTGGAAGTCCAATCTCATTGCCCAGCATCTCACACTCTTGCATTGTCGGAGTGCGATAGTCACTAAAACAGGCTTTGAGAACTTTCAGTTGCAGGTTACTCATCTGTGTCCTGAATCGCTTGTGACCGGGCCTATCCCCAGAATTACTGATCTTCCCAGACTTGCTGAAGGATATACCAGTCCCGAAGGGACTTGGGGAACTGGGATCAGCTAGGCTTGATGATTCACTTTGGTCATTGTTTTCATCCATGTCATCATCTCTGGAGCTAAAATAAGAGTCACAGTCTTTTCCAGAAAAGCTGAGGGACGGGCTCACCATGCTGAATTGGAACCTTTCATTGCTGCCATCAGAATGTGGCATTATGCCACTTTTGTTGTCAGTAAGCTTGTCCCCTCCATTGGCAGTCAGGCTCTCGACCTCATTGTTGTTACACTCATCTCCAGTTGTAGCATCACTAATGGCTGTGTTAATTGACGATGTTTCATCAAAATCCATCTTAGTGAGATCATAGGATGATGGTTCTGCTGAATTATTAGTAGGCCCTTCAGTTTCATCACAGTTTTCAGCTTTTAAGGATGAAGGGCTTAAGAAGTTTTTTACCTGCGCCTCAGATGGTTTGACTGGAGTTGAGGATGCAGCTGGCAGCTCATACTCATTTGGCTCAGTCTTGGTAGGCAGCTGGGAGTAGTCAAAGAAATTATACTTATTTGGGCTTTCACCTCTTTCATTGTCTTGATTCATCATGGGGCTTGGTGGCAGGCTAAAACCTGCCTGCTTAGCCTCATGCCAGTGCCTTGATCGTATGTGGCTATCTAGAGCAGATTTAGCTTTAAACAGTGCTCTGCAAAAGGGACATTTTTTGTGAGACTGGGAGGGCCCTATAGCCCTAAACTGTCCCTTTCTCTCTCTTGCACGAGTGTTTTGGAACCAGACCTGTACAACTCTCTTTTTCAAACCAACCTCTCTTGCAATGTGGTCAAGCATCTTCCTTGTTGGATTAGAGTCTAGCAGGTATTTGTCATAAAGAATCTCCAATTGTTCTGGAGTGATAGTGGTTCTTAAACGCTTATCTCGGTGTTGCTCTTCACTACTGTTTCCACCATCTTTGTCATTAGTATTTTCCTCTTTGTCATCCAGTTTTCTCTTCATTGACCCAGACCCTGCTGTAGACCCCATACTGGAGCTACTCTGGGAGGGGATTTGGGAAAGCCCTCCAGATAACAGCTGGCTGGCCATTAGAGGGTTGTTGGGGTCAAATATCATATAGGGCATATCAATGGGTCGCTCAAGGAATTGAGAATGAAGAAATTGATTCTGGGCTGCCAAAAAATGCATGTGCTGGTGCTCCTGCCATAGCTCCACAGTTGGGAATGCAATCTTACACTGGTCACACTGGTACTGAAGCATCTGGTGGGGGAGACTGTTTGTAAGGGAAGACAGGGCCATTGAGAGTGGACTGGAAGGCACCGCAGCTGCCTGAGGCTGGGAGTGGGGTCTTGACAATTGTGGCTGAGGAGCTTTTTGAGGAGGTGGCTGAGGTGTACAAGCCTTAGATGGTCTTGGCTCTGGGAGAGACTTGATCACTGGTGATGGGGCAGTTTCAGCTTGTTTAATTTCTGTTTCAGTGGCCATGTCTGGCTTGGGGGAGGTTTTTCCCATGGTGGCACGAGGAGAAGCCATCACAGGGGAACTTGAACCAGAACTGGTGGCTGTTCCTGTTTGGGATTGTTTGGATGGCTCCAAAGGTCCCTGGCTAGTCCTGAAGAGACCCTGGTCATAGGTATCCGTGTATTCATCACTGGGGTTGTCGTCATTAACTTCTTCATCTTCATCTTTGTAACACAGCTTTTTCTGGTGAGTGATAAGGTCAAAGATGCGTGGAAACACAATACTACACTTTTTACACTGGTACTGCATGTTGCTTGTTCTAATATATCGCTCATTAGTTAGCTCCTTTTTCTCACTGTCTTTTGAATCAGCCTGGTTCTCATAGCTCTTACGAGCTTTTTGGCGGGCATTCTGGAACCACACCACAATAACTCGCGTTGGTAGGTTGAGTACAGTGGAGAGTTGCTCAATCTCATCATCTTTTGGGTAGGCATTAGTGTCAAAGAAATCTTGAAGCACCCTTAATTGGTAATCAGTGAATCTGGTCCGCGAGGACCTCTTGTTCATACCTGACTCGGTTCGGTAGTACTCGTGTGCACTGAGCTGGGGCTCCATTCGAATGTCCTCTAATGTAGTAATAGGAGGGATGTTAAAATTGTAAGGTGAATCTTTACTCCGTTGCCTCTCTTTAAATAAGGTGTTACGGAACCAGTGCTTTATGACCTTTTGGGGCAGGCCAGACTTCTCGGACATCTCCTGAATTTGCTCCTCATTGGGCGAATTGTTAATGTCAAAGTTTGCACGCAGAATCTTAAGTTGATCATCAGTGATACGAGTGCGTGGTCGCTTAAACTGAGACTGTCGGAGGAAGTTTGGGTCAAGACCCAACTGCTGCTGACAGAGCTGTGTAAGGTCTGTTGACAGAGAGTCCATTGTGGGCAGTTGTAGAGCCAGCTGGGGTGGCAGGCCCGGGTGCTGGACAGACTGCATCATTAGAGGTGGAAAAAGGGGCAGATCTAAAGGAACGGGAAGTTGCACTTGGGGTGGTGCAGGTGGTGCAGTCGGTGGTGGTGGAGGGGGTGGTGGCTGGGGTTGCTGTGTCTGATGTGAGGATTGGTGTGTGGATGGATGGGAAACATTAACTGGTGAAGGTACTGGGGTCTGGGGCTTGGTCATTGATGCAGAAGCGGGCTGTGGAGTCGTCACTGGGGCTGGAGCAGTAGGAGGTGGCGGTGGAGGCGGAGGCGGCGGTGGTGGAGGAGTCTCAGGTGAAGCTGGATTTATTGGATACAGTTTGTCGTAGGCCTCTCTGTACTGTTGGGCAAACTTTTCCAGCTCCACATATGGAAAAAACTGACTGTGCACATGTTCCTGGTGACTTTTAAGGATAAGCATATTGGAAAATAACTTGCCACACATCCCACACTCAAGCTTATCAGTATTCACCTCCATTTGTTCAACTCCATCTTTGTTTTTCTTTTGGTTTTTTTGTCTGTTTTCATTGTACTGAATGACCAGCTCAAAACCAAAATTCTCTAACAAAGCTTTGGCTGCATTACCCCTCGCTCCTGACACAATACGGGGTGGTGGAATCAAAGGCTCTGGAAATGTTGACTTTTTATGGTCTTTGCCCTCTTTTCCTCCATCATTCATTGAATCTCCAGCATTTTCCATCTTTGCTCGGTTTTCTTGTTTTTCTAGGTGGTCCTCTGCCTCCCTTGACATCTGTATTTCTGAAATCAACAGAGTGTTTGACTCCATTTTGGGTTTGTGGTTCTGCAGTTGCTGGTTTTTCTGTTGTTGAATCTGTGACTGGGAAGCCTGTTGCTGTTGTTGCTGAGCTTGTTGCTGGGCCTGAGCCTGTTGTAACTGGTGTTGCTGCTGCATCTGCTGTTTCAGGTCTTCTAGAAATGATCCTGTAAGGCCAGGCATTCCAAAAGCTGCTGCTGAGTGCAGCGCAAGCTCTGGGCTTAAGTTAAACTCTGTTCCTGGAATGTAGAAGGGGAAGAGGAACTGTGGCTGTTGAAACTGCAGCAGTGCTTCTGGGGTCATTGGGAAATGCGGAAAAAAGGCTGGATTTAGGAACTGAGGCTGGAAGAAGGCAGCCTGTTGCTGGAGTTCGTGCTGAAGCTGCAGCTGCAGCTGGGCTGAGGACTGTGCTGACTGATGGCTACTTGCCTGTGCTGAAAGATGGTCAGTAGTTGCTGTTTGTTTTGCGTTACTGCTGTTGTTGGGTTCTTTGGGTTCCACAGTGTTTTCCTTGTTTGAAGAGGGTGTGCCACTTCTAGCAGCATCTATATTGTTATTGTTCCCTTGTGCACTTGGGCCTGGACTTTTTGCAGGGGCCGGACCACTGCTGCCAGTGATCCCACTGCTGCTGCTCAAGTCAGTTTTGGCTGTTCTGGCTTTGGTCTGGTGGAGTACTGACCTCATGTGAATTTCAAGTGTCGAGCTTTGGCTGTACGCAACATTGCATATGTTGCATTTGAAGGGTTTGTTGTCAATGTTGTTGGTCGTCTCTTGGGGAACTGGGCTTGATGCTTCTTGAAGGACCTTCTTCAATTTATGCAGGTGGGAAACTGAATTATAGTGGACCAAAAGGATGTTCTTCTGGGTGAAGGACTCCTTACACACTGTGCACTTGTAAGGTCGAGAAGGGTCCAAAAATTTCTCCATTGTAAAGTTGGGCCCTTTCCTAAATGGTAGGGTCCTTTTTGGTTCTGCTCCCATTTCATCTAGCAGAGAGCTGCTGTCACTTCCTGTTGGACTGGGTTTTTCTTCCTGGTCCATTTCATCATCTTTGTCCAAGTCATGATCAAAGGCCTGAGCTTCCTCCAAGGCCCTGGCTTCGCTCTCAGTGATATCGCCATTCAGTGGCAGATTCCCTATGAGCTGCTGCACCTCAGCCTCGCTAAGTTCTGGGTGTCCATTCTCCAAATGCTTCCTGAGGGCCAGGAAAGTCCTGAAGCTGCGCTGACAAAGGCTGCACATAGTGGCTGCTCTGATGGCATGGTACTGAGAATGTATCTGGAGCTTTTGCATCGTCTTAAAGGCCAGGCTGCAGTGGTTGCAACGGTATTTGTAGACATGCCGATCAGACACTGAGAGCTGCTGCTGTTGCTGTTGGAGTCTTTGAAGCTCACTCAGGTGGTCTTGAAGATTATCAGGGGACTTGCTATCATGTCCTAACCCTGTGGTTCTCTTCCAGTCTGGGGCCTCTGAGGCCTCCTTTGGAGGCTTTAGCTCCTCACTCTGCAGGTCCATTTCATTCTTATCTTGATTGGTCAACTCATCCTTTAAGATGTTTCCTAGATGTAGGAAATAGAAAAAATTAATCATAGGTTATATATATATATATATATATCAACATAAAAATTTTCAGTTATAATTATATCAGGGAAAATTATTTCAGTTCTATTTTCAGCTCACCTTGAGAATTTCCTGACCCATCAGTGAGAGTATTAGAGGAATCCATCAAAGACAGGCTTTTGTCTTGACCAGTTTGAGGATGCATGACATTATTTGGTGTGGGTGCATCAGGTCCAACAACCTATTTACACACACAGACACACATATATATATATATGTCAATTAGAGGAATAATTTGAAATAATGACACATGATTATAAACACATGGTACTGTTTCAAGGGGAAAAGAATAAATGCAGAGGGGTATATTTTAAAGGGACCTTGCCTTAAACTTAACAGAAGACAATAAGAAAGGATTTTGAAAATCTGACAAAATGTTACGACAAATAAAAGAAAAGGTTTTTCGTATTTGTAAAGCCTTTTTTTCCCTGACATGCAAATACTAAGATAATCATAATCAATATTTTGATTTCTACATACCGTCATAATCAGCTTTTCCACACAGTCCGGAGCCACACTGTGAAGGTGAGTGAGATGCAGCTGCAAGTGGATCTTGTTGCTTAGAACATCCTGGCATAGAGGACAGCGGATCACTGGCTGCATGGAATGCTGGGACATCACATGGAGCTGCATACGGTTGGCATCTTTACTACTGTAGTTGCAATATGGACATTGCTGAACCTGAAAAATCAAGAATGAATTCTTTAAGTATGTGGTCCGGCAGGAATTCAAATAAATTAAAAAATTACAATTTTATCAAGGTGCACATTAACCACAAGCTGGGCTAACTTTACCCGATATCTGCAAGTCAAATTCATATTTTTTTAACACCTGCTTATTCATGTCCCCAGGTCAGTTTTGAGGCCAACCATGTTGCATGTAATTCACTTAAGTCTTTCAACTCATGCAATTTTATTAGTAGAAAACATGATTGGCCAGAATTTCTAATCAGGAGATTACAAATGACAAAGGTGTGTGCTCTCTCAAGCTATGTCTTGCCCTCATTACAGGGAGTACTCCAAGCATAGCTGCCTCCCTACCACCTGTTTTAATAGAATCCATTTCCGAAATGAATACGTCCTTCGTCTATGCAGGGCCCAGAACCAGACGAGCTAATACTTCATAATCTAATTTAAAAACACATATAATTTAAAGAGATGCAAAAAGGGGAAAAGAAGCAAGGAGGGAGGCCTTAGGCTAGTGCTGGTATTCCACTTAAGATCACAAAGGCTAGCCCATTGTGCTTGATGCTAAAAAGCTCTGTCAGGGAGGGAATGGTGGGATGCATTTAACCCTTTAAATGAAAGCTGGCGCCAGCAACTACTAAATGCTTGGCTTTGCATTTCGGCTTCTTACAGTTAAGTATCTTCCCATTAGCTCATCCCACAGTGACAGTGAAGGTTAGATTTCATTAGTGCTTATGAACCTGCCTCAATTGCTCTTATCTCTGTACATCCAATGACCAATTCCAGCAAGAAGACAAAGCCAGATTTCCACCCAAACACATATAAATTGTATTTATATATATAAGAGAAAACAAAAAATTATAGTCTATCTGCACACACTTCTCAGACAGCACAGCAAGATATCTTTAAATTGCTGGGAAACACACAATAACAACTGTCAGTTTTTCTTTTGATAAAAATAAAACTGTACCTGGTCATGGGCCGAGGTCTTCCCCTCTGCTGACTTTGGCCTTTTCGGGGGACTTTCAATTTGTCGATCCGGCAGGAGGGAATGTTTAACCATAGTATTTTGTCCAGCAGCCTCTTTGGATACGGCATTCATTCCTGTGAAACAGAAAATGTAAAGCATTCAAATAAATGGTATAAATGCTCATGTTATATTTAGATATGCTACTTGAAATTGTATCATGCATAATTTTTCGATGATGGATCCTCATATAAAGAATTTGAAATGTATGAAATAGTAATTATGGATCAGAAATATGTAAGGTAAGGTAAGACTGAGGCATTGGGTCATTCTCACTAGTAATCTTTTTTTTTTTTTTTTTTTTTTTATGCTAATCAAGCCCATCAAGCAGATCATAGTGAAAAATGTTAAGTTCCACACTAAAACCACAAGGCAGTTTTCGATTAAAAATTGATCAAATGATGATGAAATTCCGAATAATAGAATGAATATCACAAAAAATGTTAACCAAATTAATATTCAGTGGGGCATAAGCGGTGATTTAGAAAATTATTTGAGACCAAGAAAACATAGAATGGATACGAGCATGAACTGTATAATTCACATTTATATACACTGACGTGGTTTTGCCCTGAGGACATGTAAAATGGGAAAAACTCAGGCAGGCTCATTATCACAGCATGACATACATTAAATGTTATGGTAATATTATACACTTCATTAGTTCATATACATTTCCCCAACTGCCTGAACATCTCCTGTGTCTGTATAAGATACTAAATTTTCGGGGCTTGGTCACGGCTGGTGGTACAATAGAAGAACTCCTTGTGTGTGTCTGTTTGTATGTGTGCATGTAAGAATGTGTGAGACGTTAACAGTAGAGCTCAGTGTGGAGAGATCAGCCTCTGGTTGTATTTAGTAAATGCTGCAGCCACTGATAAATCTTTCATTAGCCTCATCCTAAGATACAAGCAGCACAGGACCTGCTATACTCTGCCACTGCAATTTACCCACTCTGCACAACACAAAGACAGCAACAGCATCTCTCCCTCCCTTCCACCTCCCTCTTCCTTGCTGTCTTCCTCCCTTTTTCCCTAAGCTATCACCCCTCCAACCCCCCTTTGCGTCCCCTCCCTCGTCTGGTCACTCAAGGCAATATGTGAGCCTCACTCTTGCGAATCAACGCTTCACGCTAGATGCACAAATGGAAAAAAAAGGAAATCAAAGCACTGATACATGGAGAGGGGGTTGAAAAAAAAAACATTTTGTATTTCATATTATTCTGTGGCTCGTGTTTGAATTGGGCGCATATCAATTCCTCCGGCCCGTTCATGCATTTTAATTCTGTTGCATTAAGTAGGCGTTCCACTTATTTTATTTGTAATCCCCTATATCTGGTGCCTGAAATATTGGCCTGTCAAGGAAAGTGACAAGAGAGAGGGAGGGTGGGAATAAAAGGAAGAAAGAGAGAACGAGGGGAAAAAAAAAAAAACACAAGGGCACAATGTGAATTTCCAAGAACATCCGAGAATTGCTCTGCAGCTCAGAGGAGCGAGGTAATCTCGTCTTCCACTGCTTGTGATGGCCCCTGCAGGGCTCGCATGTCTGTGCGTGTGCGTGTGTGTGTGTGTGTGTCACTAAGTGCACATATATGTGCATATATGCTCATGTCAGTCCTCTGACACTCCATTGGTCAGATGGACTCAGCCTGGAAGCACCCATCACATCACCTGACCTTTCCAAAGCCCGCATTCCGCCTCCCATATTTATTATAACCATTTCTAATTTCAACTTTCAATTTTTTTTTCCTCCGTCTTCCAGTCAATTTGCAACTAAATTACATCCCTGAGAAAGGAGATGGGGCGATTGTCAGACAAGAGCCTGCAAACACATTTACAATGTGGCAGGGGAAAGGACCTACACATCACCATTGATTACTGTCAAGTTGAATGTAAATGTATGTTAGTGTAATATGTGTGCACACAACATGAAGATCTGTCCTTCAGCCTTAGATACGTCTTTCACCCAGTGCTTTCAACAACATTTATATAACTGAAGAAAAACTGAATGTTCACATAGCAATTCTCTGTACGGTTATTTAGAAACTTTGAATGAGACATCCTTACAGTGAATAATAAAGTTGATCTGAGGCAAGCAAATGCATTGAATTCGTAGAGTGTCTTTCAAGGATATAATCGCCTCTAAAACAAACACCTACATGCAGAGACACAATCTGAGCACTGAGTTCATGCTCAGGCGAAGAGAATTGTTCAGAACTGTCCCTGTTTTAAGGCTTCTTTTGCATCGCTGCCTCCATGGTGCACAGATAGCCAAGATGATGCAAAAGACATAATACTGAGAGTATGATTGAGAATAACACAGGAGCAGCAGACTCTCCGCCCATTTTCCTTTGTCTTGTAGTCTGCACCCCTCATTTAATGATTGTCCTTTTCCCCCTGCCTCCTTTTCCTTCTGTGCCCCTCCCTTTCCACCTTCAGTCCATCCCTTCTCCCAGAGAAATGAAGGCTGAATAAACCTGAAACTGCCCCACCAGCACCACCATCCCCCTCCCACCTTCTACCAATGACAAATGTCTGCATGGAGCAGGACCTTGCTTGATTAGATAAATCAAAAGGTGATTTATGACACTCAAGCCCTTTTGCATTGCTGTGGGAGAGAGTGGTACACATGCCACCCATCTTTATTTGCAACTGTCATTGGTGTTTAGGGAGGTGCGTATACACACACTTCTACACATCAGTGGACATTGAAAGCACAAAGCAAAAGGCGGAGAGGCAAGAAAATGTTGAGAATAAAAACAAATAATTCTAAAGATGGACTGAGATGCCCATAACTTAACCTTGTTGTATCTCAAAAAGAGGGGGAGCCTGTACCTACATGCAATTTTGTAATTAGGAAACTCTTAGCAAAACAAACCAGTCAAACAATATTAAAAAAACTAAAACTGTGCTGAATATTCCCATAGAAAAATATCATTATCTGTGATGATATCTTGAGATGAAAAAAATTAAACTAGACCTATGGACATATTTTTTCTTTCTTTTTCCTCTATTTTCATTACAAGGAAAATGATTCCACGCTTGATCCCATTTCAGATTTTTAGCATCACGGACATGGAAAAAGCCCACAAACATAAAACAGAGGGGGGTGGGTGGCTTGGATTTAGTATTCAATTTAGCCGTTCTGAGCCCTGGCAGACTGGCTAGCGTTACGGAGCAGTAAATCTAAGAGGGAGAACTGGCCAAAGCGGGCCAGGGAGGACTGACCAGCATGATTTACTGGCCTACTGCTCTGGGGTTACGCATTAGGCTGACCTCCGGTCACCTGATAACATTACAGCAACACACTCTGAACCTCCAACTCCCACTGAAGCACTCAGCAGGCCCAGATCTAGCGAGAGGGAAGTACACAAAGAGATAGACTACGACTATTGAGACGTGGTCAGATGGAGAAGAAGGAAAAGGAAAAAGAGGCTATTAAACAGCAGCTGTCGTTTATAGTTTGTGTTTTTAACGGCCATTCCTTAATTCCTTTCTCCTCCATCTCCACCTTATATACCAATGGGTAATAAATATGTGGATGGCCTTGTCACATTTGACGAATCGTTTATGACATTCAACAAGCTGTCATTACAAACACGCACAAAGGAACTGCTGCGGGCCTGTAATTAAACATGCTAATATCTTTAATATATTTAATCTCATCTTCAAGAGACATAGAGGAAAAAAAAACACATCACTGCTCTCAAGTTTGCCAAATTTGCAAGATGTATGCACATACCAAACAGTGAAAATGTTATGAATATGAAGAAGCTCATATTAAATATTTAGTAAAACATTTAGTTTCCACACAATTGCATTTTGTTTATCCCTGATCTTCACAATTCAAACACAAAAAAGGAAAAAAAAGAATACAAAACGTTTGAATACAGGAAGAGCGAGTAATTTCTTTACTCATTTGAAGAAGGCAGGGATCACTAATTTCCGCAGGCTGCTCGACAGGCTCATTTCTATGCCGGGGCCTTTGTTTAGATGGTTATTTATAAGAAGTGGGCCCCTGAGCTATGGTTGGGACATGTGCCATCCACACACACAGTACAAAGCTATCTGGAAGTAATCCACATAAAGGGCATTTGCATGAAAAATGCAACATGGATTATAATTAATCTAAAGTGACATCGGATTAAAAAAGACAATGTAAATGAATCCAGGAAAAACAGCTCTTTCTGTCTCTGCTGGACCCTCCCCCTCAATTTCTCATTTCGTTTTCCCCATCTACCTCTTACCCTCTCCATCTATATATCAGTCCCTCTTTGCTTTAGGGATCTTGGTCTTAGAGATGTAGAGCACAAACATACTGCTCACTTGGTCCCACCATAATCCCTTCCTCAGAGATCTCCATGAGGACACACACACACGTAAACACATATCTCAACAATTTAAGCTTGCCTGAAATTTGGGGCTGATAGAGGATATAAAAGCTTTTTTGAAGATGGTGAAAAACATAATAATAACAAGTCTTTCTAAGATTTGACTTTCTGAAACCACCATTGAGAAAAATTATTTAAAAAAAAAACACTTTTACTTTTATATTTTGGCATTTCTAGGCAAATAAGTACCTAACTCTTAGACATAAATAATCTATAAATCATTGATGACAAGATTTCCCTGTACTCAACACATACGCATGCATTTATATATACAGCATGAGAGCATGCTGTAAAGTAGGAGGAACCTTAACATTCTGTCACTTTGCCTTTTTACATGTGTTCACCGGTGTTAAATGATGCTGGCGGTAATATGCAGCAGTGAATGCATGGATGGTGGTTCCCCGCCAGTCTGTCACAAGGGCCTGTCAGAGAGATAGAGCTAAAAGATAGATGACTAGCTAAACTAATAGGCCCGAGCCTCACTCAGCTCTCCTTCTGCCTCATTGAGCCTCACATTATGAAGCTAGGTATGGCATGCTAGGAAGCAGAGTTGGGGCGGGAGCTTCAGATGGATAGAGCGTGCAGAGGGTGGGGAGTCAGAAGGTGTGTATGTGTCTGTGTGGAGATGGGGGTAAGAAAGAAAAAGCAGGGGACATTAGTTAAGCAAGAAAGAATGAGAACCCAACGCAATGGAAAAAGGAAAACAAAGAAAGGTGTAGCAAGATCCCATGCAATATTCATTCCCGGCCATGGATTTCCATCTCATACATAAGAGGACCATATGAATTCTTATTCGGGCAAATCAAATCTAACAAAGCCACGGCTATCCCAACCACAGCCTCACAGCAGACGCTTTATATGCTCAATACCTCTCCAAAAATAACAAAAACACCAAGCAGCCTTTTTTTTTTGTTACAAATTGTTGCCCCTCCCTGCTTGCAATGCTGCATTTTGTACAAATGAATAAAAGTTTCTTCTTCCCACCTCCTTTCTTGTGCTATTTTTCAATCCGAAGTAATGTCTGTGATAGGGTCACAGATTGGACAACAATTAAGGAATGACTTGAGTCCAGGAAAAAATGTGAGAGAAAGAAAAATGCAGGGAGGGTTCAGGAGAAAAAAAAACTAATTTAAGGGTTGCAGGGATGCGGTGCAATATTAGAAAAACATATACACAGCCCCCCATCTAATCCTGCGCTTATGAAAAATTAATATGTCATCGGAGAGGGCACAAGAACGAGGAAAGATTAATGCAAGGCGCTTATAAATTACAAGCACGCAAACTGATTTGATTAAAAAATAATCTGGGGCCTGGACATTGCCTGGTAATATCCACAACACTCAACTTATCCCTCTGTTTCTCTCTATTTTTCTCTCTCCTTATTTCCCCCCTCTCCTCGACCCTCTCTCTTCCTCAGATGGAAACGATTAAAGCAGGTCACACTGAGGCTAGTAAGCAGAATTCACATGTTTTCTACACACGGTGTCTTATCTGAGGCAGAGACACCAGATAAACAATAACTTGAAAATAGGTGAGCGTGCCGCGATTCATTTTGTGCTTTTTGAGGTTCTGTATCTGTGTGCGTTTACACCGTGTGTGATCTTACGGTCAGTTCTCCTGTTGTCCGTCAAGTCTCGGTCAGTCAGGTTGAGCCCAGGCCGGGAGGAGGAGCGAGGAGGTCGCTCACTGTCCTCAGCCGTCTCCTCTGAAAGCAAACACAAAAAAGACTGCGTTACTTAGGATGCCCTACCTGTACCTTTAAAGGAAGCTTATTTGCTTCACTGTTGCCACTAAGATGTTGACTATATTCTATGAGTCTGTGGTAGAGAGAGCAGAAGCAACAGACGTTGTACATCCAAGAAACTGAACAAACTCCAGAGAACCTGGAACTGATTCCACAAAGAAGAGTGCTGCAAAAAATAGTGAGAATAATGGACAACGTTGTTCACATTCTAAACAACAGCCAGAGGCTTCTTCAGCTCTGCTGCAACAATGGCCAAACAAATAGCCAAGCAGCTGTTTATCATGAATAATTCTGAGAGAACTGCTTAAAATCAATAACGATTACATAATGGAACATTATCACTTTAATCTAGGAGTCAGAAAGCTTTATTTTTTCCATTTTATGTTGTCTGAAATCAGTATTTGATGGGCTCGGAATGAGTAGCGATAACAAAAATATGAAATGATTGAAGACTTGAGAAATATGCAAATATTTTCAACCCATCTGTTCAATTTTACTTCCCTTCAGTTCAATTAAACTCTTCCAGGACAGAAACAACAAACTATGTAAAAAAACAAGAACCTTTCTGACACTGACAAATTAGGAAATTAAGTTTATTGTGGCCTTTGAAATTAAACATTATCAGACAAAAAAGTTAATTGCTTAGATCTTATTCAAAGGTACACTGCAAACAGACAATGTATCGGCATACTTTTGTTTCGTAAAACAAAACAAAAAAACACAAAGAATGTGTATGAACACACACATACACTGACTAACACACACGTGCAGCTTTGCACTATTAGCAGATTAGCCTGCCCATCTCTGAGAGTTCAGCCCCTTGTTTGATAATTCTGTGTATCTGCAGTGTTCTGCCAGTGGATTAAAGTGTGTGTGCGTGAATGTATATGTGTGTGTGTGTGTGTGTATGTGTCGCCAGCACAAGCTAACACTAATCCAAGCCGAGCCCCAGCACTCTCTTTCATCCAGCCATCATTTGTCTCTGGCTGGGCCGATGTCACTTTGTAATGAATTTTGAGCAGTCTGAGAGAGGCCAGATAACCAGTCATGTGCACACACACACACACTAACATACAGACACACAAATAGACAAACACACGCATATACTGCCTTCATCCTGGGACAAGATCAGCATTGCAAAATCAAAGTGTAACACTTTCACGCACGGGCATCACATCGAGCAGACCCAGTCTGATTTTCAATGACACACACACTGAAAAACTGTTAAAAATGTCATGTCCTTTAAATGAGGTGGGGGGTCTCCATCACAAACCCTTCACTCTGGCTACGGATAAAAAAATCGTATGGGTCCGTGTGCATGGGCTTTTTTTTTTTATATGATGTATGCATTTGTATGAAGGGTGCTGCAAACCACAAGTAAAGAAACATGATACGATTAACCCTTTCACGTAGCACTTGGAGTGAACACAGATGCAGACACACACACACTGAGCACTGGCGCCATTTCTTTAAGCAGCAACACATTAGGCGGACCTTATATGCAGCATGAAATTTTTATGGCAGATGATGGCATGTGATTGGAGAGAAAATTGCTGTTGTGTTTGTATTTCGGGGTATTGTTATATATATATATCGCGGATTTGCACGTTTTGCACAGCCCGTGCATGCGTGGGCGTGCGTGTGTGCGTGTGTTTAGGTGCGAAAGTGAAAGAGACTGGGATTGCACTTTGCTCCTGATGTTTTATTAATACGTCGGTGACAACGGAGATGAAATATCTCCCGTCAGCTGAGAAAGCCCGAGCTGCAGAAATTGCAATTTTCCCTGCTGCTGGTGCAGTGTCCATCTTCTCGGATTTTAATTCACCTCAACTTCATATGAACGAGAAAACGGCATGCGTGGGTTTCGGTATGAGTGTGTGATTGGCTTTAATTGTTCTGTTTTTAGAAAGTTTGAAATGCCATCATCCCTGGTTTATATCATGTTTGGGACGGAGCCAAGAAAAAAACAAATAAAAATAAATAAATATATATTTATTTTTTTTGGTGTGTGTGTGTCTGCACGAATGTGTATGCATGTTTAGAAGTTAAATTAATTGCTGCTGTACAACCATTTAATTATTGCTTAATTAAACACTACTATAAGCAGCTGACAACAAATGTATGATAATCTTGAAAAATAATACACTGTTGCTCAGCATGTAATATAAAATATAATATAAAACGTAATAAATACCTTTTTTCACTTCATACAGTGTCATCGTATTACCATATAAATCTATTGATAGGATGTTTTCTGAAAAATAAGTACTTCGATAATAGCTTTTCAAATCAGACGGACTAAGAATTTTCCATCAGGAACAGTGTCAATCACAAAGGAAATAATTAGAGAAAAAAAAAATGTCGATTTGAATGAACCTCTAGGGGGCAGTCTACCTGTAGCATGAGAGAAAAAACCAGAGAGAAGGTAGGAAACGGAGCAGAAAGAGATAAAGAAAGAAGTGGAGAGCTGATCATCTGGGCCTCATCAGTATTTTTTTTTCACTCGTGTCGTTTTCTTGTCGGTTATATCTGTGGTGTGTGTGTGTGTGTGTGTGTGTGTGAGCGTGTGCATACAGGGAATGTGTTTCCACACCGAGGACATTCCCAGACAAGCACTCTCCATACATCAGCTCAGCGTCTGCCCTCTGACTGACCCTGACACTTACACACCACATTTGTGTGTGTACACGAAAGCGTGTGCGCGTGCTCCACGTTGTTTGTGTGGGTGTGTACCGTTGATCAAGTGGGTGTTACAGTGCGCGTATGTACCTGTGAAACCAAATGGAGGGGTTCTGCGGGCGGGTTTCTTAAGCATCAACTTAATCGCTACCAGAGGACGCACGCAGCAAAACTTTAGCAGTCACCTTCCTCTGCCTCACCGCGCCAGCACACACACACACCCAGAGAGAGTGGGTCCAGGCTGTGGAGGGTGTGTGATTTTGGCAGCCTGGTGGAACTCTCTTTGATGTGGGTCAGTCGGAACATTAAAGGCGACCAGTGGGCTCGAGTTAACCACAGACCCTGGGTTCGATTACCCTGTGACACAAGCCTATATTTAACCATTACAGAAGAAGAATAATTAACTGTCTCTTGATCAGGGCCACGCAAAAAAATACTTCTTATTTTTACATTCAATGACTGAAGTGAAGTAGTTATGACTCATTAGACCCCTGCATGAGGATCCACGCTTGTCTAGTTCAAATAAAACTAAAGAAAAAAAAGTGAAAATAGCAAAACTCGCAGTGAGGCTTGAAAAAAAAGGAAATGTTCTGAACTTTTTCCTCCTTTCCTTTGTACAAATAGATCCCTAAAAACCCCTTGAAACAAAATATCTTCCTTCAAAGAGATACAAGAGAAACAGCGTAATAGTTGACAAAAGAGATGTTTGGTCTGAGAAAAGTGGAGCAATAGACATATGGGAGATGGAGGCAGTGGAGAATGTATTGAAAGTGTCAGTGCAGTGTTTGTGTGTATGTGTGTCCTCTGGCTGTATAATGACCTGCTCCGAGACCACTCACTCCCCCTCCCGTCTCTCCCTAAGGGCCCATAACCGCCATGCCGGGTCATTATGTGCCCGTTGGAGGACTCAGTCATACAGCACACAACTGCAGAGCAACGGCACGGCAGGAAACTGGACGCGGAGGCTCCAAAATGGCTGAATTCATTAGCTGGGCTAGATGCTTCTAATTTACTTCCTTAGGGCCTGGATAGCGCTCATTAAAGGGGGTAAAAGAGCAAAAGGAAAAATTGTCTTCCTCAACATTTTGTTTATCTTAAAATCGTGTACATCTTGAAACTAGAGCAACTGAACTTGTAATTGCTGCCAGAGAAAATGTCATGTGAAATGTAGGAGAAATTCCATAACAAGGAGACACATACTGCACAGGCCTGCTACACAGGCTAGCTGCTTTGTGTCCATTGTATCTGTGCTAGTGATACGCTCCTAATGTTGTGTGCAACACCCCTGACTGCCATGTCTCCTCAAGTTAGGACTGATGTTGATGCTGATTTCTCCATACAACTCTGGTCATGTCCCCTGTGAGACCGTGTGTGTGCACGCGTGTGTGTGTGTGTGTGTGTGTGTACAAGCAGCGGGGGCCCTGTGATGTCACATTCCTGCGCCGCACGCGTGGCTCTAGTTTGGCCTCTAGGTTTTAAGGAGAAAGCTTTGAAACATTACACCATCCTACTCAGTCAAGCACGCACGCACGCACACACACACTTGAGCGCGCGCGCACACACACACACACACACGGTCAAGGGCCAGTGGTAATACTGCCAGAGTAATAACCTTACAGACTTACTGATCTCCTTCCTTCTCGTTCTCTCACCCTCAAATCTTTATTTACCCTACACTCCCTCTTTATTCCCCCTCTTTCCCCTCGTTCTCCCTGTACCTTTCCCCCCTGAATTTCAGCGTGTTTAACAAGCATTTAGATCTTAACCAGATGTTGTTAATGTAGCATGTCTAAAATACTAAACATCAACCCAGAGGAGAGGGTCTACAGCTCCTGCACAGGGCCTGGGAATAACTCACTCACACATCCACATGCGCATACAGTGACACACACACGCCTCTACCAATGAAACCCTCGGCACATAACACACATTTACTCCCACGCAGCTTTCACTGTATTTCATGCACTAAAGTCCACAGCCCACATGCTAACATGTAAACACACGAGCACAAGCAAACACACGTGTTTCCATCCGCACTTTCAAATCCACCCACACCCCATCGTTTATTGCTTAAAACACAAGAACTTGTTACACCAGCAAAAAAAAGAAAAGTATATTTTTTCAGGTCGACGGGATTGTCATATTTAATTTGCTCCTAGTGTGAATGTCAATAACTTGAACCGACAGAATAAGCTAAAAAAAATTGTCATCTTCTGAAAAAAACAAAACGCTTGTATCAGCAACTCCAAATTTGCTTTGTTGTTGTCAATTATGACTTCCTGAGATGCGTTCATTGTATTTTCCTTTGCTCAAATTGCCCGCACCGTTGTCTTGAAGGCGACTAACAAAACACCTATTACTCTTTTGATAAAAAGGGGGGAAAGGAAATCATATGAATAAACATAGCCAAGATTAAAGGCGTGTGTGTCTTGCTTGCTGCGCAGAAAGAAACTGTTGTTTTGTGTTGAGAGGGGGTTTCATTTTCAGTGCTGTGGGCACTGGGGTGTCTATGTGTGTGTGTGTGTGTGTGTGTTGGCACGGTGATGTTAATGATTCTTTAATGGCAAATACAAAAGGTTTTCATAGGGCAAAAATAAAACTTCAAAAGGTTCACTGTTGGGGAAAAAAAAAGAAATAAGAAAAGAACAGCAGCACCTGGCTTTAAACAATAGGGTAGCACGACTACAATACACCTCAACACATGCGCACACACACAACCACACAAACACCTGCATCTTACACAACAGCCATATTGCATTTCGGCTGTTTGAATCACCTTAGGCTGAGTAGGTGAATTGAGGAGGCGGCACGGCAAGCTTACTGTGGGATTTAAGAATAATTTGAAAAGAAGATTCCTCTCCTCTGTTTCATCTCCTCCCATGTCTTTCTCTTTTCTCTCTTTTTTTTTTTTCCTGGTCTCTTATGATTCTGCGGTCCAATATTTATCTTGCCCCTGATTACAAACATCTGGTGGACGGGGCAGTGTGCTCAACAGCAGCTGAAAAACACACTGAGGCACTCTCTGAGAATCACACACATAGTGGAAATATCACACACATTCGGCAACGTGACCCTGTCAAGTCCAGACCAGCAGATGGAAAAAAGGGAGAAAGAGAAAGAGAGAAAGTGAGGTGGACCAGACAGCAGCAGAAAGAGAGAACTAGGAGCTGAGGGTTAATGGCCTTCCCATCTCTGTGATAAGAATTCATTCTGTTCTATTACCAGCACTTATCTACAGAGGCTCTTGTCTTTCTCTTCTCTCCGTCTTGCTCAAACACACGCTCACACGGACACACACGCTTGTGCACGCACGCACACACACATCGACGCGTGTACGTGCATGCACAACAAGGGTCCGAGATCAATAGATGAACCTAATGAAGAAAGCAGCTGTTTCTCGGCATACCTGCTCAAGTCTATCAGCCCAACAAGATCTCCCTGTCTCATTCATCTGTCCATCTATCTATCCATTTATCTATCCAGCCATCTATCTATCTGTCCATCTATTTTTCCATCTTTTCACACAGCTATCCATCCATTTACCTATCTTGTCTGTTCCTCTGCACCTTCATTTATCCTCCTATTCCTCCATCCATCACTACACCGGTAAACAAAGATGCAAGCAGGGCAGATATAGTTTCGAATTGACCAGCCTGGTTCTTGTCAAGCATTTAAGGTTTATTTATTTTCCGGGAACTAATACAAAGCCTGAAAAAAGGGAATCTAATATAACGGCTGCCATGATTTGAGAGAATGGCTGTGTGTTTGTGTACGTGGGTGTGTGTTTATTCTTAAAATAGGCCTGTGACGGGCAGTGGCCAAATGGATAATACTTAAACAGATCTTTATCCTATTGGGCCACTGTCCCGTATTTAGCAGCAAAAACCATCTGCTTTCAGAGCCATTAAAAACAAAACTGTAATCCTGGGTGGAAAATAAAAGAACAGATCGGCATTCATAGATAGGACAAAATGTATACTATTGTTGTAGCTCTCCTCGGTGGTGAAGAACATGATCACAATGTGATTCATGAAAAGGGCAAGCTGTGAACAATCCTGATCATTTCAAATTCTCTTAATTGACAACATTCCTTATTGATGATTATTCAGTCGAGCCCAAACACCACATAGCTTCCATTAGTGCTTAACCGCTTATGCGTGACATGTCTTAGGCCATAGGACAATGTGCTAAGTGGAAATATGTGCAGCATCACAGCCCTATCATGTGTTTAGGTTAGACAAAAAGACCTCTCCGTCATCCCAATAGATACACAGAAGCAGAAAAAAAGAAATGGCTTCGACCCAAAATGATTCATTCAATTACTCAGAATCTCCAAAATAACTAAATTGCAAATCGGAGACATGAACAATTTTAATACAAAGTGTTCAACGTGCATACACAAAAACTCAGACCTAAGGCCTGGAGATGGTATTGAGTGCCCTGGAGAGGGTATTCACAGACAGTTACACATGAGGAGAGTTGGCTTTCCGATGACTTTTTCAAAAACATGCAAAAAATGTCCATTTCATTACTGGCTAAACAATGTCATATGGGCCCCCACTGGCCCTAATAGAAGCAGACAAAGACAGAGCAGCACACATATGCTTCAAATAAATCAGATTACTGAGAGAGAGTGGGGGAGAGAAAGAGTGAAAGAAAGAAGAAAAGAAAGGGAGACGCTGCTAAACACTTAGAGGATTGACAATATTCCCTTTTCTTGCTGCCTTCTCTCCTCCCCTTCTTCTTTCCTTCACTTTTTTTTAACTCTCCCAGCCCCCCCTAAGCAGGGTCTGTTTTAGATTTGAGCCAGTGCTAGGCCCATATCTCTATCTTATCTCTGCTAGCCGTCAGAAAACAGAAAGCGCCATGTTTCCATGCATTAGACTCCCGGCCCCTGACACGCCACTTGAAAATCTTACAGTCCCTCAAAATGGCTGTGCAGGAAAATAAAAACAGAAAGATACCATTTAATCAAATGAAATGCCGGCTACCAAGCTGCATTGAGATCATTTTTGGTGTGTGTTCTGTTATAGCGTCCTATCTCAGAAAATGTCAGCCATGAAATTTATGGAAATTAATTTTGGAATTGTGACAACAAATGCCACCCAAACTCTCCTAAAATTAGATCACTTTTCATTACCAGAGCATCATTAGCTTTTTTTTTTAAGTCATCAGGATTTAAGGAGCTGTGACATTTTTCAACCTAGAACCACCATGGGAATCAAGACCCATAAAGACATCCTGTAGTGTATTTGGGCCCTATTATGCCACGGCATTTCTTGGATAACTGTAAGGGGAAGTATTGATTCTGCTTGAACCAAAAAAAAAAAAAAGGCAAAGACAGGGTGTAGAATATGTTAACAATTTGACAAAAAAGCAAAAATCAATATTCAAATGGATTCAAATATTGATTTATAATTACGTCTTAATTGTGGCTCGGCATGGACTTTTAAACTGCCCTGTGACAATAGCTTGGAAAGAAGATAGGGGAACATTATTGATACATTTTAACAGTGGTGGTCGCCCAGACATTGATTCGGCCACTTTGCGGTGCCTTTGGCATGCACAGGAGATCCAAATGCACATGCATTTGAGAGGAGACACAAACACACACACACACAGATGAACACATGTCTGAGCTACACACATCTTTATGGAAAAACAAATACACTCACCTAAGTGGACTAACACAGCATAATTAACCTTCATCCAAGAAAAGTCAGAGCTGTCTTATCTAAAGACTTCACTGCACATGCGTGTGCACACGTGTGCATCTGCTGACTGGGGCTGTTGGACGTATCACTTTGGACAAATGAAAATAAATTAATGTGCGTTTGTGTGCGAGTTAGGTCCTCGCTTTTTTTTGTAAATGATGCATTTTAGTTCTGATCTAAGTTTACAGGACATGTATTTTTGGGCACTTAAGTCCATGTGAAATTGTTGTGTTTACATGTTCAAAATCTGTGTGTATATATGTGTGTGTCCCTGTGGGACTAATCAGGTATCAGGTACCTTTTGTTTTGGGAGCTCATTGATGGATGAAATCTTTATCTGTGCTATTGATCAGGAGGGTGCAGGTCCTAAACTGTCTGTCGAGCTGCCTGCCTGCTCCGGCTCTAACAAGATTGCCAGGGCTGAGTATATCAGTTAACATTTAATCAATGGCAGCTTAAGACACTGGGGCTAAGGGAAAGAAGCCCACTGCTTCAGCCCCCTGCCCCAAACCATTACTTGGGATTGAAGCGGAGCAATATGTGGATGTGTGGAGGGAGTTTCACATGATTACAAGGGATTGGCTCTGGTTGATCATATGTCTTCAGGGGACTGAGGTGTGTATATGTGAGTGTTTTTTCCCCCCCGCCACACTGTTTACAGGCATGTAAGTGTGGCTTGTCGATACATATTAATAAGTGAAAAAAGAGGAAAAAAGTCCAGAGGGGGTGGCATGTCTAACGCTGCTTGTACCACACTGAAGCAAGAGAAAGAAACACTGAGTAAAGTGACTGACATATGGGAGAAATTGCCATCCAGATCAAGTGAAGGCTTCAATTTGAAGACTCGTGTGCACAAAAACCTCAGTTTCACTCCCTCTCTCTCAAATAAACTAGAAAAGACAGATATGACATATCGGGCAATGCAAGGTTTCATTTCTGCCTCGCTTGCAAAATACTCAGTGATGGTAAAATGCAAAACAGGAGAGTCAGCACAAAAAATAAAAAAATAAAAAAAAGATCAGTAAGAGATTTTATCTGGCTTTTTATTTCAAAATCAGCTTCACAATCAGCTCATAGTAAATGAGTAAATGAAACCGCATCAGTCAAAGAATCTGATCGTTCGTCTCCTATCTGCAACTTTTCCTTTCATTTTCTTATTAAAGCAGACATAGGACACCGTCGCAATCAAAGAATCTCATTTCATGAGAGTGAAACTTGCCCTTCCAGCATTTGCCTGCGCGAGCACGGCTTAGAATGAGGCAGTGTGGTGGTGTGTATGTGGGAGTTTGCCAGAGGTTTGCTCTGACAGGGGAAGCCCCTCTTACGTCCCTGTCTTTGTCCAAAGCCTAGGAGATTCCCACCACCAAAAATCAATGTGTGTGAGAGCATATGTGCGCCTGTGTGTGTGTGTCAAGGTTTTGTAAGACAAATCTCTCCAGCGTGCGCCGCTTTAGTGCTATTGAACCAGGCTTCGATCACTCGGCCACTGTGAATAATGTAAGGGTGGTTACTGCTCACTTACTGCTCAGGATGCTTGCACGTGTGTGTGTGTGTGTGTGTGTGCGCGCGTGACAGAATGGTCCTTTTTCCTCCTTGCAAATGCAACAGGGCAGCTCTTCGACGTTCCTCCACTTGGCCTTCTTAATCTCATGTCAGATACAGGAACTCCCACACTGATACTGTGTCTCGGAGTGTGTGTGCGCAAGTGTGTACGCTGGAGGCTTCTTCAGCAGACAGGAAGAGCTTAACTCAAGCGGACAGCTCAGGCTTGCACTTTGACACACCCTGACTCATTACAAACAGCCGGCACACGGCGGAATATTGCCATTAAAAAAAGACAATTAGATATGATGTGGAGTGAGCATCACTTACACACATGGACATACACGCCAGCAAACACGAAGCACAGGGAAACGAGGTGAACACACTCATCCCTATATCCCCGGGTACGTGGAACAGAGATATTAATAATCAGGATGTTACAGAGTAATTAAAATGATTCCAAATGATGAGGGGTATGTGTGCTTTGGGACCACGTTTTTTTTTTCTGTTAATTAAGCTGAATGATTTGATGTGACACAAACCATACATACGATTTAATGGTGTCCCAGACTTGATGTGGCTGGGAGGGACAACGGTTGATGGGGCTGTGGGGGGAGACGGCTCATCTCATGCACGCACACACACAAACAGCAGATCCAGCAGTTCACTGGCCCTGTCCAAGACGAGGATCTTTTTTAAAAAACATAATTATCTGTGTCATCACTTATGAGGCAATTAAACAAACATCAGTTCCCATTTCCTCGCCCTGCGTCTCGCTTCTCTTCATATTTTGCATGTCTTCCTTTACCTTGCCATCTGTTCCGATCTCTGAGCATCTCCTCTCCTCTCCTCTCCCCTGTCCCTCAACTCTTCTTCCTCCGCTCCTGTGTGTCTCTAGACAAGGTTTCAATTTCAACATGCTGATTGTCTCATTGCCGACTCCATGCATGTCTTACACTTACTGGCACTCTGGGGACTGGCAGTACACGCGATAGAATGCCTATTTCACTCCATGCTTTTTTTCTGGTGAGTGTGTGTCTGTGTTTGTGTGTGTGCAAGGGGGTGATGAGGGTGTAAAATGCCTATTACGCCGTGAGTCTGGTCTCTCTTACACTGAGGAGAATTCTCTGGTGCCTAAAGAGCAGAAAATTGCAATACTCTTCTTCCTTACTCCCCATTAACCTGCTTTTGAAACAAAGGCTTGGCCAAGGTGCGAGTGTGTGTCTGAGGGTGGGTGTTTGTGTGTATCCCTGCCCATTAGGTCCCTGCAACATTATGGGCAAAGCACTTTGTAAGCAAGCAGGCATATCACCTTTACTCCACATATCGTGTGTTCTCCTGTGTTTTGTATCATCTGCGTTGTGCGAGATACGTCTTTCATGCTCAACCTTTATGTTCCAACTCTTCTTTAGTATGTCTTTGTATGTCTGTTCAGTCACCCAGATTTGGCAAAATGTATATTTTTATGCCTTTACATGAACTTGTCTCTCTTTTTCCTTCATTCCTTCTACCCTTTAAAATAGGCAAAAGGAGACAGTACCTTATGAAGAGCTTCAAGATGACTAAAGCAGCAGGCATATTTGTCTAATTTGCACAAAGACATCCACATCAAAGCACAAATCAAGATCCATGCTCATTCAATGGATTTTTTTTATCAGTCTATCCATTTCTTGTTCATTTTTTTTCCGGGCGTCCTTTTTCTCCCTCTGTCACATTCCTCTTTCTCTCTCTCTATTTTCCGAGCGTTATTAGGACATGATAAAAGCAAAAGGGATGTCATGACACAGGACCCCCTGTTAGCATTAGGAGGTGGGGGAAAAAAAGAACGAGAGAACGTAGAGGGGGAGAAAGATGAAAGAGATTTGTCTGGAAATGATTGCTCACAAGGCATTGATTCTCTGCTTTAATCTCACACAGTGTGCTCAAATTTCCTATTAGGGAGATGAAGAAAAGAAGTGAGAGGGAGATGGTTCTTACTCACATAGGTGGGGAGGTGAAACTTGGCTTGTCTCTCAGTGTTTCTTTTGGGCAGACAAAACATACATTTCCCTTATTCTGGAAAGAGAAGCCCTGTCCTGAATGTTTCTTTTTTTAAGATGTGCTGCCTTGCCGTCAGGCCATTAGTCTGCTGTAAGTAAACAATAGTGAGGAACCGCTATTGCTACTGAAATCCCTGAGGGTCACACAGACACACACACACACAGAAACCCACGCACACACACACACGACAAGCCTCTGACAGCTGCTCTTATTGCAAAGCTTCCTTTGGTTAGCAGTGATTAGCCTTAGCCTATAGGTAATCAATAGCTGCTATGAATTCCATACCTCCTATTGATGCATGAGGTTAAGGTATCACAGTGGAAGAGTGAAAAGGAACAGATCACCAGAAGGAGGAAATCTGAGCTTTTTCCAGAAGTGGTCTGATAAAACTACCTCATAATACTTGGACTTCATCCTCTCCATGTGATTGCGGGTGTGTGAATATAGGTTACTTTCAATGTCCATCTGTGAATATTGTCTTTGCTGTCTGAGATTAGTGGCTGCTTGGACCCTGTGAGCATATTGCCTGGTTACCATGGCTCAGGCTCCACATAACCCTCCTCCCATCACTGGATTGTTTGTCTTAATGCTGTGTGACATGGCCCATTGTTTTGTCCATCTGTGGTTAAGAGTCAATGGACAGGGGGTGTATGAAGGGATTGAGGAGGGAAAAGAATGGAGGTGAGGAAGAAGAATATAAAGAAGAGGGGCGAAGGGGGTGTTGAGAAGTAAAGAAAAACAAAATGGAAACAAGGGGCAAAAGGTATATATATATATATATATATATATATATGGGAGAGAGAAGGGTAAAAAAGAACCTGCATGTAAAGGAAAAAGCATGCAGTGACCCAGTGATTTTAATATGGTTGTCAAACCTTATATTAACCACTTCCTTTTTCTGAGTCTTCCAAAAGCTTTCAGTACCATATGGACTGGGGCCTTGAGCTGTTTTTGATATCACCTACATGAAAGACATTGTGGCCATTTGATGCCAGTCTCCTCTTCAAAGGGTTAAGTCATATTTAGTATGCGTCCTCAGAGCTCTGTAGCTTTGTATTGTAAATAAGACTAATGTGGCATTGGTCAGGTATGCTAATGCAGATAATCAGTGCAATTTCTGTAAATTATAACTGTCAGTGTGGTGGGCACAAAACCTTGGCGGAAAACATAAGGGAACAATTTAGCCCGGGTAATACCCCTCCACCAAAGAGCTGCTCAACTCTAAAAGAAAAACAATCGGCCTGAGACCATACCGCCCCGACACACCATTTCAAAAATAGTTTATGGTGAACGAAGCTCATTTTTTTCCGAGACACAAGTCAGGCTGCTGCCCTTTTTTTCTATGTGCACACACAGACCACAAAGTAATTATAATTTGCTTGGATGGAATTATTCAAAAAATGACCACATCTTTTACTCCCTCAGCCATAGAGAATATGGTTTTGGGAAATCTGGGGTAAATTGCTACTTGCTGAAAATATAATAATATACATATATGAATGTGTCTTATTTTGATTTGACAAATGATTTCAAATGTAGAGCATTGTCTCCAACTAATTGCATGGCGATTGAAAAAATACATACTTTACAAAAATCTTCTAGGGGGAAAATCACTTCATTCACATTGGAAGAGCTCTCTGAGCAGGAACAACTTACATGATAAAAACATTCCAAGCTTTTATTATGCGAGGAATGGATCCCATCTGAGTCCATGGGCTTTTCCAATATATAAATACCAGGATGTGCATTAAATAAAAGAGAAAGTTCACAAATAAATTGCTGTACTTGATCATCTGTGAGGAAATGAATCTACACCACGTGTAACTCCCGTAATCTTTTAAAGCCAGACATTTGAAGTATAAATGCACACCTCATCCTCTCCCTTCAAACTTGAATGACAAAATGGCCACCTCTACGCTCTATAACTTTGGTGGTTAGCTAGTTCTGGGTGTGTGTTGTATCCTTTCTCTTGCTCCTCTGGGCATCCATGAATGTTTATATAATGGCCACAAATTACTGAGACAAACCCTGGAAATAGAATTCTGTCTGAGGAGACTTTGCCCCAAAAAAAAAAGAAAGAAAGAAAAAAGAAAGAACCGCTGGAATGGCGAAACCACCTCCACCACCCAGAGTAGAAAGGAAAAAAAAAGAGTAAGATGAGGGAGTGAAATTGAGGGAGGAGGGAAAATCTAATACCTCAAAGGTTACTTTGGTGTCATCACTTCCAAAATGCTCCTTGGTCTAACAGCACAGATCTTTTCAACTTAGAAAAACCGGATAATTATTTTGTTTCTGTTTTTGGTGCTCTGAATTATTTCACACACAGTTTAGGTCGGGTATGTTTGAAGGCAAGGATTCCTGGCGCACTGGGAAACAAACACGGCCTGGCACACTTTCTCTTAGCCTCCGTTCCTTCACTTCCTGGCGTACGCTTACAAATGTGTCCATATCCTCATACAAAGATACGAATAATAAGAGTGCATTAGACTCTGAATTTAGCCTACAGCTGCTATGTAAATGGTTAGCACGGCTCCACTAATTTCACAAAGACCAAAAATGTCCCAGAGCTGTATCACTCAGAGAAAACAAAAGACTCTGGGCACACGCACAAACTCACATACACACCAACGCGCACATGATAAAAGTGTTGTTGGTCTCTCCAAGTCAGAAGAGGTCTTTTGTTTAAAAGGGGGATTCAGACAAAGAGGGTCCTCTCCCTCCCTCCTTAATGCATGTCGGATGGTGGTGGGGGCAGTGTGGGGGGGTGGGGGGGGGGGGGGGGGGGGGGGGGGGGGGTGCATGGAGAGATGGAGATGTGTGGGTAGAGGGGTGGTGGAGGGATGGATGACATGCTGGGCTCTCAGAAATAATTACCTCCATAAGATCCCATCACGCTTTCCTCTTTTTTTCGTTCTTTTTTTTGTGACAGAGGGAACACCGAAAGAAATAAAAAAGACAAAGTAAAGTATGCAGAAAAGGGCCTTATTAGAAGCTTTACACATGATGAACCACAGTCCTAATGGGCAAGGAAACACAGAAAAACACATTCACACACACACACACACACACACACACACCTCATAACAATATGCTTTGTGGCTCACCCAATGGTCAGATGGTTTTGACCGAGCCGACAGCAGAAAAATTGCTGCAACAAATAACTTCAGAGATTCTAAATATTTCCAGAAGTCCAGCTAAACAAATTGTTCAAATTATGAAACTGATGATGGAATACCCATGACTAGCAATCTGTCATAGTTTTTTTAGTTTTTTCTATTTTTTTACTTGAACTTTACTAAACAGCTCCATTCACTGTGTAACTTAATTACAAAGAGGAGAGGAGCACAAAAAAATCAAATTTTTCTAATAACTTTTGGACGACCCTCAAAGCAAAATGGCCTCCACGTCCTCCATGTTGAGAGGCAATTCATTTATGCTTGCTCCTCTGATGCAAACTGGCATTTTTTATAAACTCAATTTACTTTATCACTTATAATTGCACACAGAGAGGGACTGTTTATCTCAGAAATGTGGACACTGTAGGCTTTTTGTTTCTGACGAATACGGATCATGGTGAAATATTTTTGATGTATGGACAGGAATTGTTAACTCCTGTGCCTGCTGGAAGGTTTTGGCTTTAATCCCAGAGAATCGGGTGCAAACTTATAGTGAAATCTTCTCAGAGAGGCAGAAAGAAAGACAGAAAAAAAAAGAAATTACGGAGATGTATGTATGCATCAGCAAACGTGGTTTGACACGGGGCAGCTCTGAGGTTACATGGACACCCAAGTCCTTGTTCAAAATACCTATACCCTTGTAATGTGTCTTTGCAATTCTGTATCCTTAATTGGGCCATAAAATCAGAATAAGAATTGTTAAATAAAAGCCATTCACATGTACATAAAGTCCAGAGCATTAGAACTCTTATTCCCAAATGAGCCTATAATTATCTGGCTTGGCTCCAAGTCCCAGGCTTTAAGGGAAAGATACCGGTCAGCACTTAAATTAATCTTTTTCATACCAGTCTCTAATGAACAGAAAGTGCTCGAGTCAGGAGTTGTAGCCCCAGAAACCTAACAGCCTACATACGCATGCACATGTAGACAAACAGAGGGTCCTGAAACTAAAGACTTGGTGGAAATTTGGCGTACTATACAGCCAGTTCCCACGAAAATAACATTCACGTCATCTAGAACAGTTTTTAGACTGCTGGAGCCTAAAAAGAGTTCTAACACTTTTATGTCTCATTACCTAATATTCAGTCTAAATGCAAAGATGCACTGCCGTAAAATACTGTGCGTATAAGTATATATGCATTAGTATCATTCCATTGAGCTTTTCTCTTTGTATGCTGATTGTTTTCTAGATCTGCCTTACTTCTTATTACATACAATCTCACAGACAGCATTGGTTTAAAAATAAATGAATATATAAAAAACGATGAAATCCACTAGACTCTCAGACTATATGAAAATAATACAATTAAAATGCAATGACTTGATTTTCTGTGTCTGATCTCTCTCTGGCTCATTCCTAATTCCTCTGCGCCAAAACCTGCAAAATACATATATATAAGACACTAACCATGCACCACGTAAAGGTTTTCTGTTGAATATGTATGTATATAAATATATGTACAGGTAAATATATACATGTTGTATGGAGAAGGAGAGAAAGAGAGAGAGAGATGGGCGTAAGGAGGGCATCCAAAAATGTGGTTTAGCTTGTAAGATCTTGCCAGCATCCGGTTAAGCTTTGCACTAGCTTGCTAATGGAAAATACACTATGTTGCATCAAAGCCAAGGTATAAAAAAATGATCTGTGCAACAAACCTGTGTGCTTTCAGACTGAAACATTTGACATAGGTGCTGTGGGCAAACATTGCTTTTGACAAGTTTAAAATCTGGCTGTGTTCGCTAATTTGATATGTTAAAAATTAGAGGAACAAAAACATCTAGAAGCTTATGTTCTGGTTTAAAAAAATAGGCAGGAGCTGAAGAGAGAGGGGGATGGAATAAGCAGGACAAAAAAGGAGAAAGTGAGGGAGGGATACCAAAAAGAGAGCAGGAAAAAGAGGGCGGGTGTGATGGGGGCGATGGTTTAATATAAGGTAATGATTTATCTAAGCATGCTTTTCTGCTGCACCCCAATCTTAAAGAAACTTTGATCCACGTGTAATTAAAACCAAACGTTCAACAGCAACCGTCTCCATTTCAGGACAGGGAGCTCTTCTCCTGGTCACGTGCATGTGTGTGTGGGTGTGTGTGTGTGTGTTCGGGTGTGTGCGCTGGGATTCGCATATGTTACAAAGCTCCGAGTCTCCATATGTTTTGAGAGTACATACACAGTATAAACATGGCACTTTAGGGAGCACAGATTCATGGTGAAAGACACACCTGGGCTTACACACACACACACACACACACAAGTGGATGTGTGGAATAATGCTTTTCTCGTGTACCTTTGAAAATGTGTTACCCCCCTCCCCACCACCACCACCACACCCCACTTCACTCCACCCGCTCCTTCAGGTCAAGCAAAGCAAAAACAAGTTAAGCGCTCATTTTCTCCCAGCAGTATTAACATAGGGATGACTAAATAATGGACCCTGACTCTACATCTTCTGGTTTAAATTACAGCACAGCCCCCTCCCCTTACACCCTGCAAACCCTCACCAACATCCACCCCCCACTCAAAGAAAAACGATTAATCTTTTTCCTTTTTTTTTCTCCCCCCCCCCTTTTTTTTCTTTTTTTTTTGTCTTTCTGAATGTTTTACAGTTCTGTTACACTTATTAGCTGCTGGAAGGACGGAGACTTTTAAATGAAAGCCAAATTGCTTTGGTCATGAGAAAGGAAATGAAAGCTCACTCCAGGGAGAGACTGCGTAGCCATAGCATACATGAGTGTGTGTGAGTGCATGTGAGAGAGAGAGAAAGAGAGAGAGAGAGGGAGGGAAAGGGAGAAATGCATGTGTGTGTGCGTGTGTGTGTGTGACTAATACATGTGTGTACAGACGTTTCACTATGAGATCCTCCAAAGGTGAAATTTCATAAGCTGACTGCTTCCCTGCCTGGGATGTCCCTGTGCACGGGACGGTGTGTATGTGTGTGTTTTGAATAAAAGTGAGGCAGCCTAATAGGAACAGTATGCTCATTTTGGAGAGATTAGGAGCAATGGTGGGTTCTGTATCGAGAGACGTGATCTGGATATGAAGGCCAAAGGAAGGAGAGAAAGAAGTAGGGCGTCAGAAACAACTGACAGAAGAAAGAGCAAAGAGGGAAGCAAAAAAAAATAAAAAACTGGTACGAGTGGAATGAGTGAAGAGGGATGGATCAGACTTCAAGTGAAGAAAACTGACCACTTCTACAACCGGAATAAACAAAAAAGCTTTAACAAACTTAAATTTCAATAACATCAGCATCTAAAACACTTTTTTTTTTAATAAAAAAAAAAACAAGTGAAAGATTATACATGAATAGGAGTGGCCTTAAAGACAAATAATAATAAATTGAAGACACAACAAATAAAATGGAGAAAGCAGAAGAACTGACCTTGGCTGGTGGGGCACTCTTTGACCTGGAACAGCTCGTGGAAGCTCAGTCCATCCTCATCTCCTCCCAGGCCCTGCTGGTGCAGCTGTAGTTTCCTCAGACCTTCGCTCTGCTGGTGGCGAGCCGAGCGGGCATGCTGCACAAGGTTGAGGCGGGCCTTGGTGGAGTAATCGCACAGGGTGCAGTAGTAGACACACGACTCCGGACTGTAGTTGCTGTCCTGCTTCTGCAAGTGCTGCAAAACAGGAGAAAACATATCAGAGACGTGTTAATTCCAGGGCTCTGTCAACATTTGTTTCCACCAAATATATCCGTTCTTCTCTTAGTGTTCTATTTATTTATTATTTGCCTTCAAAATGCATTACATTGTTGTAAAAATATTAAAACACCTCCACAATTCCAAATTCACTTGAAAACATGAATTCCTGCTTTCTAACATGCCAACAGAAAGGTTTTCCTCAACATCTCAGTAAGCGTTCAACTACATGAGGACATTTTAAGAAATTGACATATAAATGTTTTAAGTTAGAGGATGTAGAGGGACTAAACGGAACAAAAAGCTTACAAACACTCTGAAAAAACAAGATTTTGGGTGTCTTTTTAGAATTCAGGTAATACAATAAATTAACACTATTTTTGTCTTTAACGCGCACATCTTCCAGCTACCCTTATTGTAGGCAGCTGTGGGGGTTTCTCATTCAACATGTGCTGTCCGTTGAAAGCCCTTAATTTCCAGTTGCCTCTTTAATGGCATTGCAGCCGTGCAAAGCTACCCCCCACCTCTTGTCCTACCCCCGGTGTGTGTAGGTGCACAAATCCGCAGGCGCATATGCACTGCCCCCCATCCCACCTTGCCCTGCTCCCATACACCCAGTCAAGCCAAGCATATCAAGTGTGCTTCTGTTGTTGCTGCCGGGCTAATGAACAATGCACAAAAACAAAAGACCAGGCCAAGCTTTTATTATCTGATCCTCCATGGAGGAAGGGGGAGACACAGTGAGGAGCAGAGAGAAAAGCATAGAAACAGATACACAGAGGTGACTCGGGAAGGTTGGCTCCTACTTTGTTAAGATTTACTCACATTGCTGTGCAAGGAACAGCTGCAGAGCTCCAAGCATTAATTAATACGCATAATATTCCAATACCCCTATAAGAAGGGTGCTTCTTTCGTGAAGCAATTAAAAGTTGGCCAGGTGATATTTTCCTCATTCTTGCATAATTTCATACACAATAAAAAGTAAGCCTGGCAAAGATCGACATTACTGAGGAGTTTTGTGTGTGTTTGTGTGAATGTGTGATGGGAGGAGTGAGGCGCAGGTGTGTAGGTTCCACCCCCCCCCCACCCCACCACCACCCCTTCTTCCTCCTTTGACAAACAGGGATTAGCAACATAGCTACAGCCACTAACACATCTTTTCTCTCTGTGTCTCGCCTTTCTTTCTTTTGTAGGAAATCTTGCGAGGTTTTTTCTCACGAGACGGTGGGACGTCCCCGCGCAGTCAGAGGCCCTTTCAGAAGTCTTAAGTTTTAATTAAGTCAGAGTTGTCAGAAGAAAGCTCCCCTAGTCCAGAGCTCAGGGCCATTAATTACAGCTATCTTTGTTTCTCTGTAAAAGGAGGCCTCCCTTCCTCCTTCTCCCTTTATTTGCTTCTTTTCTTTCCTCCCTTCCCTACCTCGACGAAGAACTGGACTGCTGAGCCTTTTAGTGGAAACCGCACACGTGTGGTACAGGAGTAAACACATATTTACTTCTTGTGTGAATAAGGACGTTTGAATGGATGTCTTACGTTTTAACATCAGTCATTTTCAATCGCTTCTCAGCGATAGGCTTCTTTATCATTCCTAATTTATTACTACATAGAAGAAGAAGGAGGATGCCTTTAACTGCCACTTGGCATTTGTTCTTTCAAAATTCAATTGTGTGTGGTCTCTCCAGCATACTTTTATTTGACGGCCATTCAAATACAAATTGGGGCTTCTCAGAACTGAATGGAAAACTAGTAATCAAACCAGGCCTTTCGTTCCACAGTAATAACCTTCAGTATTACATTAACAAGTACAAAAGAAGAAAAGTGTGATGACTTGTAAAATGCGTATTTTTAATTTGTGAACATGTTCATTTTCATACCAGAGAAGAGTTTTACTAATAAAGGAGTTTTACTGCAATTTAATCACTGAATGTGTTCGACATGGGAAGTGTCAAAAATGCCATTTTTATGTAATTCAATAGTTGGCTAAAAATACCAGCCTTCTAACTCATATTGTAATGTTTTAGGATACAAGGCTTGTGCTATGAACGGTTGAGTGATATACTTGTGGTTGAACTGGGCTGCCAGATAGGTTTAAGCCTAATATTAATTCTCTCCCCATCAGCACATTCCAGAGGGTTTGTTTAAGACCAAAACTAGTGGCTGTCTGTCGCTCTCTGGCACTCTGCAGGCCTGAAATGCAGGCGGTCTGGTGATCACAGGCCAGAACATCCATGATTTATGAACTTTTAAAGGAGCACTTTGACTCCTGCCAGGCGTGGGCTGTGTAATGCATATTCAAACACACAAACACACTGTTCCTGCTCCTGGGTTTGCGCCCTTGTGAGTCTGCTTGCAATGTGTAATTTATGCTGCAGCTGAATTGTCTGAGTGGATATGTGTTGTACACGTGTTTGTATTATATTGAGTGTCTTTGGATGCGTGTGTGGCAGATTGGCAAAAAGGCCCATCCGTGTCAATATGGCACCTCTCCAGAGTGCCTGGTGGTTAATTGTTGGGGATTAGTGTTTGGCAAACAACCAAATAAGCTAACAATCCCTGAGGGCCCATGAAAATCATCTGAACAGCCCCCTCTTGGTGGACTTAAAGCATGGCGCATGCAGCTTGAGATGGTGGAAGGGGGCGGATGCACTTCCTCCACATACAAAGAATGCAAATGAAAACTCTCAAAACTTCCTGCTTTCCTGTCAAAAGCACATTATTGTCAACGCTGCCAATGGCATACACACAAATGTGCGCGCACACACACGGGGACTTGAATGAGGAGAGGGGAGGGGATGTGACAGGTAAAAGAAGCTCCTCGGTGTCGGTGGTTTCTCATGATGTGTGAGTGTGTGCGCACCAATGTGCCTGTGATGACAGAGGACTGAATTCATTATGCAGAATGAGATGTTTACAAAACACCTTTCTCATACACACATATAAAAAAGCAGGCGCGTACTCCCCCCCCCGCTTGCTCCCAGAGTTTGTGTGGAGGGTTGCCACGCTGCTGTCTCATATCCATTTGTTCTGTCTGGGGTGACAAAGCTGCCTCATTAACTGAATTCTTAATAAGCCGAGCCAAAAGACATTTTTCACCAGTTCTTTTATCTCTCTTTGCATTTACATGTACATAAGTGTGTGTGTGTGGGGTTTTCCATCAAACACTTTTTTTCCTTTTTTTTTTAACATTCAGTTTTTACGCATCAGTAATTTCAACTCTTCATTTCACCTCACAAGAAGATTTTGTCTGTATGTCTATAATTTCAATCACACTATCTTTTTTTTCCATCTTTGCCTGTGATTTGTTCGTTGTATCATAAAAAAATATTTCTGAAAGCTGCTCGGAACAGTGGGGTTGCATTTTCTCCCACAAACCAAATGACAAATTAGGGTATTCGGAACAAATATGACTCTTTCCTGTGATTAAGTGCAGAACCAGGCAGTTAATGAATACATACTGAAAGTAAGAATCCTCTGCAACAGCAGTGTCTAAATAATCAGTGTGAGTGTGTGTGTGTCAGAGCGAGTGTGTACACGTACAGAATACGTGCATATGCTCCGCTTGGCAGTCTTGAGTTTGCTGAGAGCGTGCACACACATGCAAATGTACATGCCATGCATTGTGAAAATAAAAAACCTCTATCTTGTTTCATCAATGTTTTTAGAAGGAGCAGGAAGCCTGTTGTTCAGTATACCTTTCTTTTACGGACGTCACGAGCTTCCGGTGCTATTCCCCGAGCCCCCGGGGGCCATCAGGGACAAAAACAGCCCCACTTGGCCCAGCAAACTACAAAAGAATATATTGTTCCTTGAAAGTATTTTAAACACATACCAGGGCTGCCTGGAAGGCTGCCAAGGGAGGAATTCCATCAGTAGTACCACCTCCCAGACACATGTACTGCTAACCACCAGCCCCAAAGACATAGATGTAATGCAAGATCTCTGCCAATGGATTCTCTGGCAGACGACACCTCTGAGCAGAGACGCTGTGGGACTGGGTATATGCCACCTTGCCTCTGCAGATAGAGACCAGCAACTCTAGTGTAACTGTATTAAGTGATACACATGTATAAAAACAAATGTGCATATAGGATGAGCAAAACTAAAATTAGCACATGCACGCAACATGCCCCCACATGCTATGTCGTCAACAAAGCCAGCGTATGTTATATTAAGATGGAAGGACCATAAAAGATTCCCAGTACCCTCGGACCAATGAACTCCGCCTGCTCTCATCTCTTGATCATCGTCTTTCCATTCTTCACAAACCAACGCTCTGATTTAATAAATGCAAGGAAAAATAGCTCACAGAGCTAAATTGCGTCTCCAGTTTCTCTCAAATCTGCCTGCTAGCAGTCAGCTCTGGAGCCTGTCCATGAGGTGCAGAGCTTGTGGGTAAGTTTAGCTGAGGTTGCTGAATAATAATAATAAGCATACATTGGATGATCACTGTCACAAACTAATTATCACAAAGAGGCTCTCATATTATGTTTTTCTGGTCATCTCCACTTTTGTTCTGTCTAGTTCACTTTATTTCTTTTTTATTTTCCCTTTATGCCTTGCAGCAGGACAGGTATGCTGGTAGGAAATTATGTCAATTCTAAAGTTACTGTTCATGCCTTCCATTTCTCTGACTCCCACACATGGATGCACAGAGAGTCTGTCACACACTTATAGCAGTGACAAAAGTGTGCCTAATACACAGTGGAGAGGCCATTCTTAAGTCCAAAGCTTCCTCACCCTCACCCATTCTATTGGAATAATTACCATACTTTACTCCCTATTTTATCAATGAAAAACACATTCGAATACAAGTTCATAACAGAGCAAAGAAAAAAAAAACAGCACTCTCACACTGTTATCCATCTATTTATTACTGATCCTAAACAAATAGTGCTTAGAGAGTACAATGTCAAAGAACCGCAACATTTCTATTGCCCTGATGGAGCAAATGGACACAACAGATTCAAGGAGATGGGAGACT